CCGAGGTGACCCCTTGTTCAACCGGTATATCCTGTCTCAAAATTGACATGGTGAGTAATTGTGGAAAAAGCATTTGTTAATTGTAGTTGTTGAATTGGCGCAATGAACATCATCTCACATTTTTCTCGAGCCATTCGGCAGCTTTAATCAAAGTGTTCACTTGGTTGCTATTCCAGGTAATTGAATGTTAATAATCCCGAATCAACCTAAACAGACCAGAAGGTAAGGATGCACGAACCTAAAGCAAACTTGTAGAAAAGAACGCTCGATCTGCTCCGCGTTTAATTTATATGTTCCTTTGACGAGCGTTGAAGGGGTTGTCTGTCTCATGAAAGGATTTTCTTCAAAGGCTCGGGCATTATATTTTTCATAACTCGGTTGTTCTGAAGAATTAATTGATGAGATTATAATGTTTTCAATTTGCGTGACGTTAAGTTGAAATCTCGGATTTTACGTGGAAGCACTCGGATCTCTTCTTCATCTAATAGACGACTGTTTTTTCTCTTGCGAAAAGGGTAGGGTCGACCTTGAAACGATTTCCACGTAGCCGGATAACCTTCACCATTACCATTGCTATAAGATCTTTTAATCATCTTATGGTTTGTTGATGAATTGTCTCCATCGAATGCATAATTTCTATTCGGTTTCTGGTAACGACCGGCAATTCTCGATTTGGTCGCCCTATCCGTCAATACTTCTGGCGTCAAAATGTCTGGTGGCAGGTTGAAGTCCTTTCGGGCGCATATTGTGTCGAAGTCTATTAGTTTGAAAAAGGTGGGAGTGAATGTAAGAGTTTTCGACATTCTTGAGCGAGTTAACTTGGATTTTTAATTTTGGATCGTCTGTACATTCATCATCTGCGATTTATTTGCTCCAGTAATACACACGTAATCAAAAATAGATCGCAATTTCACAATTTTCACACATTGTCATGTACTATTTATAAATACGGTGAATCCTGTTTTTGTTGCTCTCGATTGATCTTTTTGAAGTTTTTGAGGTCTCGCTCCTGATTGGCCGGATATCTCATCTTAAATATATGAGGAATAAAATCTTAA